GTTCCCTCAAAGCAGCGTGTTGCACCATGTGCAGCACCGGTCCGAAACGTATCAAAAGAATCAGCAGCATATGGAATCTCAAATAGTGCAAAAGCATCAGATTTTAAGATAAATGTAAGCACGATAGGCAATTTGATAAGCTAAAAAAAGAATCTTGAAAGCAAGTGCTATGGTAAGAACAGAGAGTCACTTGAAAGTGCAAAAGTGCGTTAGAATATTAGAGGTAATGAAGTACAGATTAATCAAATGAAGAGGACAACCACAACATTGTTAATGAAGTGGGAAAAATCAATCAGAGAAATTAGTATTTTAAGCAAAAGTTTATGAATCTCAAATGAAGAGTCTTTCTTGTCTCAAATGCAACTCCTTGTAAAACGATTATGGATTGGTTTCAGCGAAGAAAGGCAGATTAATAAGACTAACTTTTGCCAAGGATTTGACGCAAGTATGCAAGGTTAAGTGCACGGTCATGAAAGATTAGGATTGTTTGACTTGTATGCTTTGCGATTGTCGCGGTAGGAATTTTGCGAAATTGCAGAAATTCATGATCCTTAAATCTCAGTGCGCTGGTCTCACAAGGGAAGAAAGGTTGGTCGAAAGGCCTTTCTGTATGAGATGTATACTGACTTGAAGGATGAAACACTGATTCCAAATATACCTTTCTTATCCGTTGCGGGCTACTGAGCAAGGAGATTTGGAGGTTTTTATTGGCAAAAATTCAATGCAGAAACAGTGTGAAACTCATTGACTTTTCGTATTCCTAAGTAGCAGAGTTAAATAGGTATGTTAGAATAAAGCATATTTAATGCAAAGAATGACTCGAAAATTATTCGAGCCGTAAGGAGAATTTTACGCTTCGTTTGTCTTGATTGCACATGCAAATTTTCGCTCATAAAAATCTTCGTAACTCCTCGCGGAACCCGTAGCAGATAGGGACGTTAGATTTGGAATCAGCTTTCCATACTCCTCAAGGCAGTATTCATCGTATATCAAAAGGCCACTCTGACCAACTTCCTTTCCCTGTCAGACTCCTCTGGCAAGACGTCACCACCAAAGAAATGCTTTCATTTTTTTAAGCTTGAGATTTTTATTAAAAATCTGAATGCATTTTCTTGCTTTTAGTTTGATTAAAGAACCTCATCAAAAGTGAATTAGACATTGATTATATGATTATATGATTTTTAATGTGGTTGAAACATTTTCAAGCAAAATTACTGTTGGAGGGAACAATGATTTGCAGTATCATCGCTGTCGAACCATTTCATTTTGTCACTATCAGCCTTACCTTGTGGGAAAGACGATCTTCGGAGCTATTCCACATTAGTTGACCCAAAAAATGAAAGCCGTGAATTTCGCTAAAACTTCGTCTACGGATGTTATTTGGTATGCTGAACACGAATATGATGTTTTATTTCGTGCGACAGCGCCATCCGGTAGAGTTAGGAGGATTACGGTAGGTGATCAAAATCACGAGTTTGCCCAAAACTCGTGTAGAGAGGTTATTCGGCCCGCTGATGCTGTATATCACATTGCTTTTGTCGTAGCGTCATTTTCTCAGGTTACGGTGGGTATACGGTATATAGGATCAGAATCTCAAAAAATCGCTGTAGCTTCGCACAGAGGGCTTATTCGACATGCTGATTAAAAATGTCACACTTTCTCAGCACGAAACGTCTTACTGCATGGTTACGGTAGGTTCGCGGTAAAGGTCAAAATCACATATCGGCAAATGTATCTTTCCCTGTGCTTCGCTTAGGCAGAAGCCGCAGCAGAGTGTGTAGCGCGCGGCGGTGGTCATGTGTTCAAAGCTTCACAATCGTCCAAATCGCCGTACACCCGTTTGAGACAGAACTATGTTTTACACCCGTTACCGCGTAGCTATCGTAACCCGAGAAAATGACGCTACGGTTCAAGACCAATGTGATATTTTGCATCAGCGGGCCGAATAACCCCTCTGGGCCAAGTTTCGGGCAAATCCGTGTTTTTGACCCTGTATCGTAGTCCTACCGTAACTCCACCGATGGCGCCGTCGCATGAAATAAACATCATATTCATGTTCAGCATGCCAAATAACCCCCTTTAGACGAAGTTTTAGCGAAAGATTTCCATTTTCTGGGTCAACTAATATGGAATAGTACCGAATCTTCTTCTCTTCCCTCATCAAATTCTGATTTGAAAATTTGACAGTAGTAAACTGGTTTATTTGATGATGTATTCGGAGTTTGGAAAAACCACAAGTCAGAAAAAGGATGTCGGTAAGTTTGCTGCTTTCTCAACTGCATATTAGGAGTTAAGTGTGAAAATTAAACGAAGCATGATAGTTCTTTTGAATTATGATTGTAGGAACTGGAAAGGAATTGTATACGCGTCCGTTTTATTTACGACATCTAATATTTAACTCAGAATCTATGATGACTTTGTTGCTGTTCCACATTGAATATCTTTTTTGTATCAACAAAAGCAGCATAACACTAGTGCCTATTTCAGAAGGTATTCTAAATATCTTGGTACTAGAGTTTTTGTAGTAATCCAAAAGAGGAAGATTTCAACTCTCAAAATGTAAGTTTGTGGTTGTTGGCTTTGAAAGTCAGCAGTGACGGTACAATAGATTAGTGAGTTCAACGTAAAGCCGCAGTTTTTGTGAATCTTGGCGGACACAGAAACTCATTGTTTTTAACGTAATGTCGCCTATCAATGTACTCAGTGAAAGGCAACGCTTTCACTTTTACATGAACTTTGACGATGTATCAAACGCCGATAATTAGATCGAAGCATATAAAAGGTAAGATGCTAAACAACTTCATTCTTTGTGCATATGTCATAATTCGCTATTTTAGCCGAGCTCTTACTAAAATCTTAGATTTTCTCATCAAATACGCTTTCTGAAATAACTCAGCATGATGCTTTCATTCTTCAAGGCTCATTTCACAGACAAACAGATTTATGTGCATGCCAGCGAACTTCTATAAGAGCATGTTTCACCACTTTGTAGAGCAAAAAGAAAAATTTTAAGAGTCTCCATAATCTATTATTAATTGCGCAAGTGCTATAGTATAGAGAGAATAGCAGTAAGTATCGCGAAACCACAATTTTGTCTGATATAAGGCTACATGGCTCCATGTAATCAGTCCCGATATCAAGGTTATTGTAGCGTCTATAGGCAATAAAGATGTCAACTGTTGAAGCACATCAGTGCTTGATGCGCGAAAAACTTGCGGGTATGCTAAAATTTCTCTTCAACAGTTTTCATCACTTGTGCGTTCACCTCCTACGATCAAAGGGTGGAGAGCAACTGCGTTAAAAATTGTTTTTGCCCTATTTACAAATTTTGCGAATATTAAGGTCACGAAGAGCAGTTCAAGACTGTTTCAAATTATTGTGTCAGAATGTGGTGCTTACCTAAATTCGTACTTCTTGCCATTAACAGCTCGGCACCATTCGTGAGCACTAAAATAAAATTTCTCACATTTTGATTTTCTTGAGTTCTCTCCGGAAATGTGAACCAGGATCCCTTACTAGGGTCACGAATGTTAAGCTGAAAATCCATAAGGAAAAAAAGGGTATCCTTCTTTCAAATGATTGTAGGTAGTGCAATGCTTGCTGAGTTGGCAAGCTCGTGGTGCACGTATTTTTTCCAGCGAGCTTATCAAGCGGAGTGGATAGAAGCTAACGTATTAAGACCGTAGTTTGCAGTGCGCATCCTCTACAAGTGGGTGAAAAGACAATGTCGTAAACGCTTGTTCATATGCACGTGTTATTTGCGCCACTCAATTCATAACTTACAACGGGCAAGCGGAGGCCTTAATCCAAACCGGTGGCCGGTTGGAGAATTGTTATAGTAAAATTTAAGAGCCTTCAGCCGCTACTGAGGGCGGATTGTGGCCGAACCCCACTCAGATAATTGCCGGTGCAGGCAATCTGAAAATTCGGGCTTTTCTGCAAGCATAGGCCAAATTCTGGGGCGTAGCCAAACTCAACGAGCGATATCTCCTTCACTGTCGCATATTCTGCCAGCGGGCAGCAATACAGAATTTTCTGCGAGCGCTCGTCAAATAATTTCTTCAGCGAGCGCTTTGACTTTCTTGCGCAGGCGGTCTGCCTTTTGTTACACAGTTTCGGGCGCACGCCAAGTAAAAGTAACACTCTATAGGCAGAGATGTCATCGTTGATTTCTCGTTGATTTCGTTACGCAAGTATGAGGTACTTCTATCAAAGGAAGGTATCTGCAAGGTGTGCGGTCCTTCACAAAGGACCATGCCGCATCCAACAATTTTGCATTTCTCGCTAAAAGTTCGCGAAAATGCGGTTACTATGTCTTAACTAGGCTATGAAAAAAGTCGCGATAGTGTTATGAGCATTCGTTCCAAAAGTAGCCAACACTCTTCCGAATATTTGTAGTACTATTATCTATACAAAGTACTATTACTATTATCTAAGCAAAGTTTATGTGCTGTTTGAACGATTTCGTGAAGTGTCAACTTCTCAAAAGAAATGGTGTAAGGATAAGATTTGGCATTTTCATTTGCTAAAAAACGAACAGGAATTGTCTTTGCACAAAGTTAGTAAGAGAAAACAGGTTTATAGATCTTATGTCCCCACTGCTCTAAATTTTATTAAATTTAGAATTTGCAAATAAAAGATAGTTGAAATTTTAGTATTTTCGTTTACCGCTTCTATCTCCGCGACGTAGGCAGTAAGGTAAGAAAGCTATTCAGGTTTGCTAAAGCTCATAATCCCATTATTTCATTTTCTATCTCCTTATCATAATCCCATTATTTTACTTTCTATCTGCCATATGCGCAAAAGAGTCTTAATTATCAAAGTACTGCAAATTTGCGTAGAAATCATGGAACTGTGATTTGTTTTGAAAGAAATGACAAAATTTATGGTTCAAAACTGCCAGATATAGCGAATCTCATGTCTCTCAAAGTCTTTCAGGATTCTTTAAACTTGCCCTTTGCCTGATAAATTATATGCTGTAAGATCTAACTTTTTTCAGCATGATGTTTATTCTCAAACTCTTTATCATAGCGGTTTTGGCGTCTGTTCTTGAAGGAAAAGGCGACAGAAAGGGTCACGGCGAAGGAAGAAATCGCGGAAAGGAAGCCTTTAACCAATTACAGCATACACCAAGCGGCGGTCCTATCAAAGACACAACGGAAGAAGAAGATCAAAACAATGGAGATGATCTCAAAGACGATGTCGTTAAACATCTTCTTGACAGTTTAACATCAACCACCGGTCTTATTGCAGACAGAAACTCGGTAAATAGGCTTATTTTTCTTGGAAATTTCTTTATAAAATTTCTATTTTTCAGTCTCTAGCAAATTGTCTCGAAGATTATGTTAATAGCCAGAAGAATGTGCAACTCAAAGTAAAAGGAGAAAAAAAGGGTCCAAAGAAACCTGTCGCCTCTGGCAGTAAGATAGCAGATAGAAAAGAAGGGAATCTGGAAAAATCTGACAGTAAAGGAACAGAAAAGAAAAATGTCGGAGACGAAAGAGTAGACGAACCTGTTACTCAGTAACCCGAGAACTTGAACTTCATTTTGAGTTTTTTTCGGATAAAGTGTTGTTGGCCCCAACTATGCATCTCGACTGTGCGAAGCTAACATTTTGGCATATTCGAGCTGTAACAAAACCTTATGCGATCAAACTGCTCTTCATTTACCGTTGTTGTCTGGTGCAAAGCATGATTTTTACGTTGAGAGTCAAGTGTAGAATGCTAGACCAAGAGGTTATACTGTTGGTTTAAGCAAATTTATCTGAGATGGGATTGAAAAGTGATGACACACCGTACCAAGTTCTTAGGCTCTCGCTAGCTCACATTCGCTGCAACTTCTTGCTGAAGGCGAAAAGATCATTGTAAAGATACTTTGTCTCAAGGACTTAAAGGGCTTTTTTCCTTTTGTCAAGCAAAGTGAATCACTTCTTAGCAAACGTCGTGCTTCATGTCGTAGTCGAACAAGAAAAGCACGACGTTTGCAAACAATTAATTCAACGTCATTCTCATCTCCGGATGTTTACTATACTACTGCAAGGCCACTTTAAAGCTTAAACGAAGTATAAACATTTGTAAAATGTATGCCAATCAATGACAGAAATTTTGAAGCTTACTCCTAGACACGGTCAACACAGTCGTAGCACGTGCTTCGAAATCACGCGGTTATTGCCTCTAACCACAACGTTCACAATTTCTCAGGTTTTTTTTTGTGGGAATTGTGGCACTCACAGAATTACACTTATGAATCATAGCAGATTCAAAGCGTACTGACTTCTAAAAATCAAAAAAAACCTTCAACAATGGTTTTCTCCCGTGTAGCTTACTATGGATTCCCGAAAATGGTGGGGACGAAGAAATCATATGCATGAAAACGCAGAAAGAAAGACGAAGGCAGACATCACGCTGACACTGGAAATCCCTGTATCAAATGCCAACTAGCTAGCGTACCCGGCTCAGCCCGACCCTGTCAATACACCACTATAGAAATCTTCATACCTTACATCTGCACAGCATTTTCCTGTTCCGTTCTCACCACTATATTTGGGTAGTTCGAGAATTTTCCGTCGATTGAATGAATATTGGATAAATTCGAAAAGGAAAATTTTGAATAAACGAATATCGAATAAATTCGAGGCTCAAAAATTCTCGAATGAACAAATCCCGAAAAAATTCGGAAAATTAAAAATATCGAATGAATGAATATCGAATATGTTCGAAAATTGGAAGTCGAATTTCGAATAAATATTCGAATGATTTATCGGATAACTAGAGCAACCATATCTCAAACTTGCAGACATATCTGGCTTAAGCCGATCCATTCATAATCAGCACCCTCTATCAGCACCCTCTTTATCCCCTATACTAACTCCTAGCTCAAAATTTTCCCAAAAAAAAACCAGCATCCTCATTTACCTCTCCCCCCCCCCCTTTACCAACTCCCAACCTCGTAGCTCAAGATTTCCCAAAAATCGACAGAAGATAAAGTAAATTTCTATCCATGACCAGCACCCTCACTTACGTTGTACCAACTCCCAGCCCGTAGCTTAAACTTCTCCAAAAGTCCGGTAAGAACCGCATTTGAACACCTTGATCCTGCGGCTTTGTTAGACAACAGCCCTTATTTGTCACTCTTCCACTAGAATTTAAAGACGTTTAGCAGAGTAACAGATAAAATTAACTGGAGCTGAAATCTAAAAATGGGAAAGATTGCACTTGGTGTAAGCACCTAAGGAGCTGTTCGGATTCATAGCGCTAGGTGTGCGATTTTTCAAAGCAGTAACAGTGGTCACGTACTAAAATCCCACAAATGCTACGATACATTGCCTGTTCATCGCAGACATTCGTCTTGTGTGGTATAAGCTAATCGTGGACGAGGACATGTGGTTCTTCCGCGAAGCGAGCACGAATGCCCTTATAGAGCCCCGGGCTACTTCAGGAATTTTAGTGGCGACGTGGTAAGTACAGAATGCAGAGCATTTATCTTTTTAATAAGTAGTACATAGACATTTGTGGTAAGCTGGCGTTACATTTGAAGACATCTCGTAACCGGCAAATCGCGTACGGCGATCTAAACCGTCTAATCCTCCACTACGACTGCGATGTCCTTTACTCAAAATACACCAATTCGCAAAAAATCTCTGAAGCAGCGAATAGAGGCAGTTGCAATATAACTTATGCGAGCAAGAGTGTTCACTAGTGTGGGCTTTGCTGCAACAAGCATGAGCAATGCAAAGAAAGAAAAACAGGCATTAAACATTTTAAATATGAAATCGGAACATTAGCTTGAATTTGATAGCTTCTTTGCTAATTTACTGCCAATAGCAGTGAGAACAATCTCATTGATCGAAAGAGTGTAAATTAAAATTCACATATGATCTTTTTTATTGTCGCAAGCAATCGGAAGAATACGATTCTCCATACAGTTCAAAGGTCATAACGATTGCAAAAAATGCATTACCGGGTTTTGCGAAAAAAACGCGGACGAAGTGAGCTTGATACTCAGCAGTTAGCTCTGCAACAAAGTCGACTGATCTGAATACGGATCATTCTCACAAATTCGAATAAACATTCAAATACAACATTCGAATAAAATCTATTCGAAACTCCGTGTTTTTGATCATTCGAGTTTTCGAGTGTTACTTGAAAATGGAAGAACTCCAAACACCGAATTTCAAATACGAATATATTCAAATGTTTTATTCCAATGATCAAATTCCCATTCGATTCGGACCCAAGTATACCCACCACTATATGCCTGTACTCGTCTTGCCTTCACTATGTCTCCATAGTATACATGCTCATTCACATTTTTGTGCCAACTCCCGCCCCGCAGTTCAAGCTTTTTAAGATTCGATAAGTTGAAAACTAATATTTTATAACTGACATGCTCATTTAAATCCTTTGTCAACTACCAGGAAGAAGTCACAATCAATTCTAGCGCTAACCATAACGTATGACACCAGGCCTTAGACATCTTTAGAAGGAAATTAAATGTCGAAGTGATTGTTCCATACAAGCAGCACACTACTATATCCTGCATAGAACGCAGATTCCAAATCTGTGCTTCGCATTACTAAACGCTTCAATGGACGGATCTGTGAGCAGTTTATTGCTAAGGAATCGTACATATAATTCCAAAATCAAGCACACTACTGTTATTTTAGCACATCTTTAGCTCATTAGGTTATCAGTAAACCCCTTCTAAATAAATTAAGCTGTTTCGGCTTTCTAGTAGACTTGAAGGCAGTGGCCCGGCAAATCCTCGACCTGAAGTTTTTCGCTCAAGCAAACTGGACAAAGAGACCATCAGTTTTTTGAGATGTTGCTTACGTCTGCACGTTGAACACAATCACACTCCCGCTTAAAGCATAAGCGAACTTAAACTTGTTGATTTTGCAAGGTACAAGATGCGCTTTTTTACGATTTAACAGTGTTGCAAAAATTAGCGAACAATACCTCTTACACTTTGTGAGGTACGCGTATACATGCTTAATTATATTCAACAAAGGTACTCAAAATTCCGAACAATGGATTATTAGTTTTGTAAGGCACAGGTAGCGTGTTTTCACACAAAGGGAAGAAGAGATATCAATGTATTCGATTTCAGAAATTGAGACCATTGTTTGCCTCCACAAAGCTCAGGTGACAGAGTGATGGTCGCCTTGTTTTTTTTTTGATTTTTGAAACTAAAATCGTTAATATGTGTGAGTATAAAGTCGTTGCATGAAGATGGTCTTGCATTTCAGTTGTGCTAGATAGTCAGCGATTATTCGAGTCGGAAACCTACCACAACCGAAATGTAGCATTATCGGCATGCAGTGGACTCATAACAGTTATCTTGTCCGGAGAATTCCGAAGCGATGAAATAGCGTTATGTACAGTCTGCCCCAATTTCAACCAGGCCAAAATTGGCATGGCGGGAACTCGTGTCGCTAGGGTATTGCGTTGCATCAGCGGCTAGCTAGTCTGCTCTCTCCCCAATTTGTTCGCTCTCTGCGACAGCGCGCGAATGCAGCGCAGAACCCTAGCGTTGCGAGCGCGCAAATTCAGTCAGCGGTTCGGCCTGATCCCGATTGGGGCAGACTGCATGTCCGGATCTTTAGTCTGCTGCAACTTAGGGCCGCATGCACTAATATCCCCGCGGGGAGGGGATCGCAGCTTCAGAAGAAAGCTTTATATCCTGAAGCTCCGGATATCTGGATTTCACGCTGTCTACCTATCCTTAAGTATTCCTACTACCCTTCATTATGAACATGTTGAAGAGGAGCGAGAAGCTGTACGAACCGCATTTTCCAGCTTTTGTATGATCCCTGATGATCCCCGGCGGTTTTCTTTAAAGTCATTTTTCTTTCTCCGAAGTTAACGAAAACCTTCCAAAGTTGTACTGAACATCTAACACAATACTGCTAAGCATGTTGCTGATGAGAACAAATGAGTTTTTGAAGAGTCGAATTTTTCGGTAAGCCTCAGATTTCGACCTGTGGATCATCGCAAATTTCATGACCTCAAAACATCATTTGTTCTTAGCAGCAACATGCTTAGCACTGTCGGGTTAGACAATCTGCACAACTCTGGAGATTCTTCGTTAACTTCGGAGAAAGGAAAATGACTTTGAAGAAAAGCGAAGGGGATCATCAGGGATCATACAAAAGCTGGAAAATGCGGTTCGTACAGCTTCTCGCTCCTCTTCAACATGTTCATAGTGAAGGGTAATAGGAATACTTACGGATAGGTACACAACGTGAAATCCAGGTATCTGGAGTTTCGAAATATAAAGCTTTCTTTTAAGCTGCGATCCCCTCCCCGCGGGGATGTTAGTGCATGCGGCCCTTAGGCTCGTATGCACGTACATCCCCGCGGGGAGGGGATGTGCGTTTAACCATTGATATGATCCCCGTTGGGGCTCCCCTCCCTTCCCCACGCGAACCCCCGTATGCAGAAAGACAATACCGAAGAGGGGATCCCCTGGGAGTAGGGGAGGGGAGCCCCCTTATGCAGAAGGGGAGATCGAGCGGGGAATTCATT